TCCTCCTCCTCCTCCTCCTCCACCTCCTCCTCCTCCTCCTCCTCCGCCGCCGCCGTTCCGCCGCCGCTTCCCCCTCCTCCTCTTCCTCCTCGTCCTCCTCCCCCTCTTCCTCCCCCGACGGTGCAATTTTGTTGAGCGCGCGGCTCACGAGGTCCGGACCCATTCCCGGGGGCGATTCTTCGTCTTGGATCCATGCTTGACTGTCCCGGGGGCCTGCGACCTGGCCCCCCGGGCTGAACTCGGGAAAAAGCGTTACGGCATGGAGCAAATCAGAGATCGGCGGAGATGTGGGACCGCGGGCAGCCCTGAGGTCCAGGACCCGCTTCCCTCAGGACCCGTCTGTTTTTCTCCTCGGGACCCGGTTCCCTCAGCACATCTTCTGATGTTTCCTCCTTATCCTCGTCGCGGTGCGGGCTGCCCCTGCTGAGGCGGCTCTCGCTGCATCCTGAGATTGGCGCGCAATCTCACGATGGTTTCCATCTCTTCTCCCGAGGGTCTCTTTGATTCGAACACGAAAGAGAGCCATACATATGATCTTTTGGACCTCCGCGCGGACTTCTTGGATCCGCGCTGGACCCCTGGACGGCGCCTCCGGCGCCGCCCCTGGCATGTTCCGCGCGCCAGGGAGGGGCATCCAGCGCAGATCCAAGAAATCCAAGCGGAGCGATATAGCGTCTTGTCTTCTTCTATTGATGCTGGCTGCCTTGGGTTGCCGCCGAGGCCGTCGGAGGGGGAGGTGTCTGCGATACCGCCATCACCAGCGGGCTGCCGTCGAGAGGAGGCCCACGATGCGACCCCGAGCTGGAGGATGGAGAGGTCTCGAGCAGGATGCCGCAGGACAGGGGGGCCGCACCACCAGGACGACCCTCCCTGGCTGCATGCGATGATGGTGGTGGTGCCGAGTTTCCATGTGCTCGTCCGGCCATCCGCTCACGATCCTCGTGCAGATGCGGCGTAGACGTCGATTTGCGTCTGATCGGACCTCGTTCGGTCATTCGCTCGCTGTCCTCGTTCGGATGCGGCGCAGACGTCGACGTTCGTCTAACCGGGCCCTCGCTCGTGTCTGTAGTTGCCGTGCTGCGTGCGGCACCGGGGCTATGTGGGCCGCGTGTGCCGTGCATCGGGGTCCGCAGACGCAGGGTACGCCCCGACGAGCAACGCTTCCCCCAGCGCGTGTGCAAACCGCAGGGACGCGAAGACCATGTACGCCTCCAGCCACCAGGGCTTCTCCGAGGAGCAGATGCGCACCGCAAGGCGGGCAGTGGGCCTCGCCGTGGGCTTGGAAAGCGCTGACGTGACAGCAACGTGGGGGAGAATGCAGCGGACGAGTGAGATGGATCACGTCGAGGACCAGGGCGATGGTGATGAGGAGGAGGAGGCTGATGATGATTGAGATGATGCTGATCATGATGCTGATGATGGTGATGATGATGCTGACGATGACGATGACGACGACGATGACGCTGCTGGTGATGGTGGTGGTGGTCTTGATGATGATGACTATTATGATGACGATGTTGACTCTAACTACGACTATAACTACGACTATGACTATGACTATGACTCCAGCCGGGGTGGTGATGATGCTGATGATGACCAGGTGGGAGGAAGATGACAAGGAGCGGAAGGACGGAGGTGGGGGGGACACTGGTGATGCTGATGCTGCTGATGATCATGATACGGATGATGATGATGATGATGATGATGATGATGATGATGATGATGCTTCTGATGATGGTCCTGTTGGTGATGATGTGGAGGAGGATGCTGATGATGCTTACGATGGCGTTTATGATGGTGGTGGCGAAGGTGTTGATGACGATGGTCATGGTGATGATGGTGATGATGATGATGATGATGATGATGCTGATGCTGACGAGGGTGTTGATGCTGTCGTTTTCGAGGATTATGTTGTTGATGATGATGATGACGATGGCAATTGCAGTGATGGCGATGATGAGCACGGTGCTCATGATGATGGTGGTGGTGCATGTGATGATGATGAAGATGACGATTGTGGTGTTGATGGTGGCCATGATGGTGAGCGGTCGGTCGTGATTTCGTTGTTGGTTATGGTGGTGATGGTGACGATGATGATGGTGGTGATGGTGGTGGCCATGATGGTGATGATGATGATGATGATGATGATGATGATGATGATGATGATGATGATGATGATGATGATGATGATGATGATGATGGTGATGATGATGATGATGATGATGGTGGTGGTGGTGGTGGTGGTGGTGGTGGTGGTGATGATGATGATGATGATGATGATGATGAAGTTTATGACGAAGGGGAGCTTGGGGGTGTGGAGGGAGGTGGAGTGAGAGTGGATTATTTAATCGCTTCGCTCATTCCGCCGGCCCTGGAGCGCTATTTGGGGCCTCTTGGGGCCGTCTTGGGGGCCTCTTGGGGGCTTCTTGGGAGCGTCTTGGGGCTCCTTGGCGGCGTCTTGGGCTCCCCTGGGGCCTCTTAGGAGGCTCTTGGTAGTCGGTTGCAGCCACCCCCTCGGAGGCCACGATCCTCGTGAGGGGTGGCGAAAAATAGCCTCCCCCCTGGGGATCGCCCGGGACTCGGCCGGGGGTAAGCTGGGGTATTTTTCGTCCGGGGCCCCCCAGGGGCCGCCCCGCGCGCACGAACTAGAAATACAGTTTAGTAGTTACCGGAGATCTTAGCACGCCTCTGGCCCGTTGGGCCGGCGAATTGGGGTATTGAGTTGGATTCGGCGTGGGTGGGGGAGGATATTGACGAGGTGGGATGAGGATCGGGAGGATGATGAGAAGGCGCAGGAGGAAGGAGTCGGTGGTGGTGGTGGTGGTTGGGCAGATAATGCTGCTGATGTCGATGTCAATGCCGATGCCGATGACGATGATGATGACGATGATGATGATGATGATGATGATGATGATGATGATGTTGATGATGATGATTACGATGGTGATGATGATGGCGGTGGTGATGATGATGGTTTTGCGGATAACCATTACGATTATTCTGATTTTGATGATGTTGATGGTGATGATGACGATCATGCTAAGGATGAAGATGTCGATGACGACGACGATGATGACGATGGTGGTGCTGATGCTTCTGCTGCTGCTGATGATGATGCTGATGGTGATGCTGATGATGATGACGATGATGATCATGGTGGTGAGGATGCTGATGATGCTGATAACGATGCTGCTGATGATGGTTTCGATGACGATGCTGAATATTGTGGTGGTACATGCGATGCTGGTGACGATGGTGATGGTGGTGATAGTGGTCTTGATCGTGAGCGGTGGGTGGTGACTACTTTGTCGGGGTGTTCACGACCATGATGACTGTGGTGGTGCTGATGAGGACGAAGATGAGGATGAGGACGATGATCATGATGATGCTCATGCTGATGATGTTGATGATGATGATGGCTGTGATGATGCTGATGATGGTTATGCCGATGCGGATGCTGATGATGATAGTGATGGTGATGCTGACGACGATAGTGTTTTTTTGTGCTTGTGGTGGCGATGTTGATCGATATCATGGTGCTGATGTAGTGATGACGATGACGATGCTGATGGTGATGATGATGATGATGATGATGATGATGATGATGATGATGATGATGATGATGATGATGATGACTATGATGATGGTGCTGCTTTTTGGTGACGAATCCGCTGTAGGTGTTGCGGGTTACAATGGTACTTCGGTGATATTGTTGTTTGCGGCGTTGGCGATGTCGCTAATGAAGGTTACCATGATGGTGAATGGTGATGGTTTTGATGATTGCGACGTGAGGGAGAAGGAGCAGACGGAGAAGGAGGCTAAGGAGGAGAAGGAGGGGGGCGAAGAGGGGGATGAGGTGTTGGAGGGGCGTGAACGGAGTGTGTGGGGGTGGTGGACGGCGGTTCAGGCGGAGCGGAGGGGGCAGAGGGGGAGGAGGGGGGGGGGTCAGGCGCTAAAGGAGGATGAGGAGGATGAGGAGGAGAAGGAGGAGGAGGAGGAGGAGGACCAGTGTCTAGCCAAGGCGCAGCAACGATGTTGCAATTCGCCGGCCCAACGGGCCAGAGGCGTGCTAAGATCTCCGGTAACTACTAAACAGTATTTCTAGTTCGTGCGCGCGGGGCGGCCCCTGGGGGCCCCCGGACGAAAAGTACCTCGGCTGACCCCCGGCCGGGGGCGATCCCCAGGGGGGAGGCTATTTTTCGCCACCCCTCACGAGGATCGTGGCCTCCGAGGGGGTGGCTGCAATCGACTACCCTCCCCCCGCCCCAAGTGGCCCCCAAGAGCCCCCTAAGAGGCCCCAGGGGAGCCCAAGACGCCGCCAAGGAGCCCCAAGGCGCTCCCAAGAAGCCCCCAAGAGGCCCCCAAGACGGCCCCAAGAGGCCCCAAATAGCGCTCCAGGGCCAGCGGAATGAGCAAAGCGATTAAATCACCCCCCCCTCCAGGTTCCTCCTGATCGATCCCTCGATTTTTCTTCATTGCTGCAAATAAATCGTTGGACAACGACTGTTTGATAATCCCCAACCGTGCCAAAGCACCAAAGCACCACTCCTTGGATTTCAACGCCGCGAATCAACTTTACTGTTGCGTTTGGACGATCCTGGGTCGTGATAGAACACAGTTCCCGGGGCTTGAACAATTGCGAATAAACGTGCTTTCTGCGCCCAGAAAATCCTGAATCGTGCCGAACACCATTTCTGGGACGCCAGCTGTAACAATCCGTCAATCTTGTTGTGCACGTCAATGACAACTATTGGCGGCGCCAATGCGAGAACCACATTTTGAAAAACCAGATCCGTCCAAAACCCGTTAGGGTCCCACACAAGCTCAAGACGGATGTGCGCGGCGTTACGGCGAGATGTGCATTTTGGAAACCGCACACCCTCCATCCGTGAAGCTCCTGCAAATATTTACGACGAATCTGCGCTGCGCCAAGGTAGAGCCACATTTCGAAAAACAGCCATATTTTGTCCCTGAAGCTCTCGCAAGCTTTTAAGACGAACGTCCTCGGCGCTCAGGCGGTAGCCACATTGTGAAATGGATTCGCCTTCCAACCGCGAAGATCTTGCCACCTTTGAGGCAGATCTGTGTGGCGCTGAGCCGACAAGCACACTGTGAAAACGGCCCGCCCTCCATCCGAGAAAGCGTTGTACCTGTCAGACTTCAGGGTCATAAGTCGTGCGGGCCTGCTCCGGGGAGACGCCCGACCCGCCCCACGGACTCGTCTCAGGGGTGTGACAGGGACGGGTTCTCTATGACAAGAAGGGATGAAGGAGGAGGAGGAGGAGGAGGAGGAGGAGGAGGAGGAGGAGGAGAAGAGGAGGAGGGAGGAGGAGGAAGGGGAGGAAGAGGAAGGGAGGAGGAGGAGGAGAGGAGGAGGAGGAGGAGGAGGGGAGGAGGAGGAGGAGGAGGAGGAGGAGGCGAACGGGAAGGGGGAGGATAATGGAGGAACGAAGAATGGAGGGGAGGAGGGGAGGAGGAGGAGGGAGGAGGGAGGAGGAGGAGGCGGAGGAGGAGGATGCGGGGGGAGGGGGGGGGGGGAGGGGCGAGGGAGGCGGGCGTGGGAGGCGGCAGCGGGGCGCGCGGGCGCGCCGCGAGGTCGCCCTCGACGAAGCCGAGCAACCTGCGCACGAGGAGCGCGGCCGCCTCGGCCAGCACCTTCGTCGGCATCCTCGTCATCGTTGTCGTCGACGCCGCCGTCGTCGTCGTCGTCGTCATCGTCGTTGTCGTCGTCGAGGGCAGGGGGATGAGGGTCATGAGGAGGAGGAGGAGGAGGAGGAGGAGGAGGAGGAGGAGGAGGAGGAGGAGGAGGAGGGGGGGGGGGGGAGGAGAGACGGAGGAGCAGGCGGATGGAGGAGCAGGAGGGGGAGGAGGGGGAGAAGGAACAGGATGAGGCAGGACTGAAAGGCAGGAGCGCGAAGTATGGGGCGGAGGAAAAAGAGAGGGATGAGGAGGACCAGCACTCACATTCAGGCTTGGTTGTTGGCTCGCAGCCGCCTATGCCTCATGCGCCTCTGGGGCTGTTTCAGGGTCCGGGGTGTAGATTTCAACCGTGCTTCCATCGCATGAAACATTGGTTGCTCGTCTCTCAGAGTTCATCCCAGCCAATGGGATTGGAAGTACCTTTTGACTTGGCACGCTTGTCGTCATATGTCATTGCATGTCTGGCATACTGGATATTCGCGCGGCTCGCCAAGCAACACAAGGCCGTACCAGAGCCAAATTCGATATCGCACACATCGCGCATGTGAGTATCGTGGCTGTTGGTGTGGCGAAAGACGTGCCCCGCGGGGCACTGCCACCTGCACTCGCTATTGTGCGAGTCCTCTGTAACCTTGATCAGAAAGCAGCTTTCCACTGCGAGCTCGTAGCTTTGCTCTGCCTTCTGCAACCTGCCCCTGAAACGCTTTTTCACCATCGAGCTACCATGTCAAATTTCTGTGGCCGCTCGGGCAGAGGATCGCCTGTGGCTGACCAGCTTCATCATCAGCATCCTCTGGATTACCCCCCCGCACGAAAGTCGACGGTGCCAAAGCCGCTCGCTTTCGACCTGTAGTTGGCAACTCCCCACGCAGCACAATCAGGCCTACCCGATGGCGCCGTCCTCGGCGCCAGCAGGAAGGCAGAGGGCCGTCAGCGAGCGGCTTGGCATCGCACGGCAGAATCGAGGCGCCGCCGCCGCCGCCGCCGCCGCCTTGGCTCTGGCCAGCCCCGCCCCTGCCGCCGTGGAGCCCGAAGCCGTGCACGGGCTCCTCGTCGATCTCCTCGATGCTCTCGACGCTGTCCCGCAGTAGACGACATGCCAGCGGCAGCTCGTCCTTGGCTCGGAGCTCGCCCAGGTTTATGATGTTCCAGCCGACTTTAGCCTCGATCGCCAGGAATAATTTCGAGCACCGCAACTGGAGGATTTTCACGTGCCGGGCCCTGGGAGGCGATACTCGCTCGACACTGTCTCGGTACTTTTCCTGAGTGCTCGAAATTATGTTTGAGATGTGGTCCTTAATAGGGAAACGAACTCACAGGAACGCGGATTCTGGGTTATACCGGATCCTGGTGTATACATTTTTCGTTGTTTCCCCGGGACGTCGGGGAAAGAAGCATACACCACGCCACCCCAGCGTCGTCCCCGACCCTCAAAAGGTCCTGGGATTCAAGAGGCAGCCCGCCACTGGTGATGCATACGCTCCAGTTTCCAACTGAGCCACGCTGGGAGCAACACGCGTCCAGGCTCGGGCCAGCCTGCGAGCAGCACGCCAGCTCCTCGTCCTGCGCCGCCTCTCCCTAAGCTGGCCGCCGCCCCGGCCGCCCTCGGTCGTTTTGGGGCCTCTGCCGCCGGGTGCAGGGGCGGCGCCCTTTCTGCCTCGGCTCCTCTCTGGAGGGTGGAAACACACAGGCGCAACTGATCGTCGACTCCCAGGAGAATACGGGAGACTCTTGGGAAGTGGGGGGGAAGACGAACACCGAGGAGAAATGTGGGAACAGACACGGGGAATCCCTGGACTCTTGTGTGTACTCATTTGCATGTCCCTGGGCCCCTTCATCCTCGGGCTCCGCGTCCTGCGGGGGCGCACTGTGGAGGTCTGTGTGGGCGACCTCTAGGACTTGGCCCAGGATTGCCGGAGCCGCCACAGCCCGAGGACGGGGACGCTCCAGGCGGGGGGCAGGAGGGCATGGCGTCGCCAGTTGTGGAGGTCTTTGTGGGCGACCTCCAGGACTTCGCCGAGGATTGCCAGAGCCGCCACACCCCGAGGACGGGGACGCTCCAGGCGGGGAGGGGGGGGGGAAGGGCATGGCGTCGCCAGTGGCCGTGCCCGAGGAGCTCCTCAGACGCCTGGGTCAAAGTCCGCGGGCATCTTCAAGCTTCGCGCCGCGCCCCGCCCGCCGGCGCGCAGCCGAGCGAGCGCGTGCCGCCCCGCGTGCGCCGCGCGCGTCGCGTCCTTGTCAACCCGCGCGCGCCCGTTGTGCCGTCCCAGAAAGAGGAGCGGGAGGACGAGGACGAGTGTGAGGGTGTGGAGGACGAGGACGAGGATGATGATCAGGGGGATCCTGCTGCTGCTGCTGATGATGATGTGGATGGTGATGGTGATGGTGATGGTGGTGGTGGTGGTGGTGGTGGTGGTGATGATGGTGGTGATGATGATGGTGATGGTGATGGTGATGGTGATGGTGATGGTGATGGTGGTGGTGGTGATGATGGTGATGGTGGTGATCATTGTGATGGTGATGGTGATGGTGGTGATGATTGTGATGACGATGGTGATGGTGATGGTGATGGTGGTGATGATGGTGGTGATGATGATGCTGATGACGATGACGAGGATGAGGATGATGATGAGGATGATGATGACGATGAGGATGATGATGATGATGATGATGAGGATGAGGATGAGGATGAGGATGAGGATGAAGATGGTGGTGATGATGATGATGCTGCTGCTGATGATGATGATGATGATGATGATGATTGATGACGCTGCTGTTGATGATGATGATGATTGATGATGCTGCTGTTGATGATGATGATGATGCTGATGATGATGATGATGATGGTGATGGTGGTGGTGGTGGTGGTTTTGGTAGTGGTGATGGTGGTGGTGGTGGGGAGGAGAAGGAGGAGGAGGAGGAGGAGGAGGAGGAGGAGGAGGAGGAAGAGGAGGAGGAGGAGCAGGACTGGGGCGCCATCCGACGGCATCGCCGAGCCTTCAGTGGGCCGCCCGCGCGGCATGCGGCGCCCTGCCGCGGGCGGCCAGCGCGGCCGCGCGGCTCGGGCCCTCGCTCCTCGCAGGCTTGCCGCACGAGCCTCCGCGCCAGCGTGCGGGCGCCGGCCGCCGCCCTCCATACAGCCAACAGCCGCTGGCGCGCGCCGCGGGCCCCCCCTGCGGGCGCTCATCGACCGAACATCTCTCGTGGGCCCACTCCCTGTAGCCAAAATGGTTACGAGGGGGGAGGAGGAGGAAGAGGAGGAGGAGGAGGAGGAGGAGGAGCAGGAGGAGCAGGAGAAGGAGGAGGAGGAGGAGGAGGAGGAGGAGGAGGAGGAAGAGGATGAGGAGCAGGAAAAGGACGACGAGGACGGGGTGGAAGAAGAAGGAAAATGGGGCAGGAGGGTGAGGAGGGTGCGGACGAGGAAGGGCTGGGACGAGGAGGTCGGGGGATGAGGGGAAGGGGAAAAAGGAGGAGGAGGAGGAGGAGGAGGAGGAGGAGGAGGAGCACGTTGGACGCTGCGTGTCCTCGAAAGAGCCCCACGGGGGAGCTGCTGCCGGGGGTGCGCAGGACGAACAGGGTCCTGCAGACGAAGAGTGCCCGCTGACGGGCATGAGAGCGAAGGCAGACGAAGCAGGAGGAGGAGGAGGATAATGAGGAGGAGGAGAATGAAAAGGAAGGACCAGTGCCACCGCAACACGCATCAACGATGATGCCATGAACCTTTCCTCCAAGTTCCTTGTTCATAGATCCCCAAAAAACCTGATCTTCACTGCGGAAAATACCCTGTTGCAGGACAACGGGCTGGGAAGTCCCAGTCGTGCCAAAACCCAGTCTTGGGACCTCACCGGCTGCGTCCTGACAGACCCACATCGTGCCAGATCACAGTTCCCAAGATCGCAAGTCTTGGGCAGTTCTGCAAAGTGGCGAGACTCATGCGCGTGGCGTTGAGGCGAGAGCCACATTTTGAAAAGGAGCCGCCCTGCATCCGGAAAGTTGTGGCAGAATCTAAGACGAATCCGTGTGGCGCTAAGGCGAGAGCCACGTTTTGAAACCAGCTCGTCCTCTTTCCCCAAACTTGGCTGCAATCGTATAAGACGACGTTGGCCAGCGTAGGCCCCGAAGAGTAAGTTCTAGTAGTAGATAGAATGTCGCAGACGTGATGCAACATAGGTGGTGGCATCTGTACTGTGCAGCTCATGTAGGGCAGCCTACGTGGTGACACCTTCGTTGTGCAGTACATGTCGAGCAATCTATAATGTGCAACTGTTGTAGTGCAATCTGTGGCGCGGGCGATCAGAAAGCGCACCGCAGGCGCGAAACACGAACTCGATGTGCTGCAATCTAGGTGGGGCAGTCCATGTGGTGCAACCGATGTGGTGCAACCAACGCGGTGCAATTAGGTGGTGCAATCTATGCTGTGCAATTAATCTTGACCGTCTTGAAGCTGTCCTCTCCACTGCTCGTGCAAACATCCCACCCTCCCACCCGCAACTTGGTCGCAAGACCTCTTCAGATGCTGTGCAATACACATATATGTATACATATATGTGCGAGTTGGGCAATCGTTGTGCTTGTGCTGTCTGTGTATATATATATAATTAAATATTTATACATGATCATCAGTCGGAGGACACGCCAACGCCGAGAGGGCCATGGCCGGTGTCTGGTGCGATCGACAGGGGGCGCGGCGATGACCCGAGCGGCGCTGCACCAGACCGCCAGCGGTCTCGCCGGCGGCGGCGCTGGCGGCCAGGCCGGCAGCAATGCCGGCAGCTTCACCAGCAACGTCGTGAACACCTTCACCAGCTCCGATGCGCTGAGTGCCCTCCGACCCCCTCCTCCTTCTCCTCCTCCTCCGCCGCTCCGCGGTGCCGCGCCGCGGATCCAGGCCAGGCCAGCGGGGTCTCTGAGTGCCGCGGCCACGAGCGATTCGGCCAGAACGCGATAGCTCGCGTCGTGCAGAGACTCTGGCGGCAGCATTCTTCTGTTCAAAATTATCTTGCCGCTCCGGCTTTAGGTCCTGGCTGTGAGCCTGGCGTCCGTGGCAGCGGCCCTTGACTTCAACTGGCATGGTGTGTGTAAGTCTCGATGCCACGATGTGGATGAAGGGTGGATGGGCGCTTAGCTGCCGGAGCGCTCGGCGAGAGCGCGCAGCTGTTGCACTTCCCCCTTCCTCGCTCTCCTCTTTTTCTTCCTACTTCCTTCCTTTCCTCGGCCTGCAGGGCGAAGAGTCCTGTTGGACACATGCCCTCACTGGCACGGGACAGTATCCATATTCTATGGGCCGATGCCCATGCAGCCGCCCCCATCTCCACTGGTGGGGGCCGATTTCTGTGACCGCACTCGGCTGTAGGGGCATCCAGCCGTCGTGGTCGACGAACCGGTGCGCGGCAACGTACGGCCCCTCCTCCTCCTCCTCCTCCTCCTCCTCCTCTGCCTTGCCCTCCCCTCTGGGAGTCATCGATTGCAATTCTGTGCCGCTGCAGCTTGCATAACGTCTTGCATGAGGTTTCTCTTGGGAAGGGCCCAGGAGGCACTGCGCAGTAGGAGCGTTGCTCTCTCAATCGATTGCTCGCCCCATCTGCCCGCTGGCCAGATCGCTTCCGCGCGGGCGGCGCTGGCGCCGTGCCGGATGAACTTGCCAGGCTCTTCGCCTCGTCTTGCCCGGAGCTTGCGGTTGGCCTCCGCGCGGGCTCGTGCTGCCCCCCCCCATCGGGCCGCCGCAGCTCGCCTCTCTCTCGTTCCTCCTCCTCCGCCTGGGTCTCTTCATTTGTATCATTTGTAGTGTTTCACCGATCTACTTGAGGACAATATGTTGCAGTGATGCCAGCCGCCTCTAGCCTGGCTCCCCTGTTTCGGCAGGAGGCGCTGTACAGGCATTTGGTGTTGCTTCGCCCTCTCTCCCCCTCTTCTCGCCTTTGCTTTCCTCCCCAGTTGCGTTAGGCACCAGTGCGAATCCCGCCGGATGGTCTGGTACGGGGTACGCACGCGCGAGTTTACACCTTAGCCGCGATTTCAGCGAGGCATTCGCGCGACAGACGCGGGAATTTGCTATTACAGTTAGCTTGTTCCACATGTTTTATTTCAGCTTGCGCGTGTCTCCGCCACTTTCCCAGGCTTCCCCGAGTGAGACGAATGTCATGCTGTCCATCCTTGGTTCGCGTTCTCCCCTCTGCCCTCCTTCCCTTCTCTCTCTCTCTACATACATATGCATATGCAGTGCAGCATGTGTGATGCAATCTACGTTGTGCAATCCAGGAGGTGCAATATCTGCGGTGGTGCAGCCTATGTTGTACAATCTATGTGATACGCTCCATGTTGTGCAATAGTTGTGGTGCAAGCTAAGTTGCGAGCGATCAATATACGCGCGGCGGTCGTTTTATTTGTCCAATCCACGTTGTGCAATCCATTGGCGGCGACGAGGCGGCGACAGGGCGGCGACGCGGCGCGGCGACGGTGGCCACACAGTCGCCACACGAAGACACGGCCCAGTTCCTTAGAACATAACTAGGGACCCCTGCATGCAAACACTGTTTTAGGAAATGTGCAGGGCGCTGCGGCGAGAACCACCTTTTGAAAAACAGCCACCCTCCAAGAGTGAAACCGTGAAACCGTGGCAAACGTTCAAGGCGAGTGTGCGCGGCGGTAAGGTGAGAGCCTTTTGTTGAAGAGGACCCGACCTCCATCCTTGAACTTGCTGGCAAGATTTGAGAGGAATGTGCGCGGCGCCAGGGCGAGAACCACAATGTGAGAAGGACCCACTCTCCATCATTGAATTTGCGGCAATCTTCAAGCTTCAGGATCATACATGGTGAGGAAGTGTTCGGCGGAACGCCTGGCCCGCCCTACCAGAACGCCTGGGGGTGCGACAGGGAGGAGTTATTGTGAGGAAGCGAGCTTGATGATGAAGGGGGCCAGGGGGGCAAAGAAGAGGATAGTGATGGGGACGAGGAGGGGGATGGGGATGGAGGAAAAATGCATCCTCGCTTTCCTCATCACAATCACCATCTTCCTACGATGGTGCAGCCGCCGCCCATAGTTTGTGGCCGATGTGGTGTTGCAAGGACTCCTTAGCGTCCCTGCCTTTTGTGGCACGCCTTTGGCAAATGTCGCAAGCCTGTCCAAGGAGGGGGGTGGCAGGAGCGCGCCGCCCATAGTGTACCCAGTCCCCCGATGATCCTATTGTTCGAAGCGACGGATATCTGGTGACGTTGCGTCCTCATGGTGGCTGGTGGCTGTAGTTGGGTGCTCTGCCGAAGCCACGTCGGATTTCGGGTGCGGGTGGCGTCCCAGAGTCGCGGCGGCGAGGACGATCCCATGGCGGCCTGTTCCATTGGAGATCACGGGAGACCTCGCCTCCGCAGTTGTCCGATCTGCTTGCAGTTCTTTCCTCCCAGGGCACGCTGTGGGTCCGGTGCCTGCGGGCATTCGACGCGTCTTCCTGCAGAACCAAACCGATTCTCACTGATCCTCATCCGCTTCTTCCCCGTAGCTCTCCTCGGCTCTCCTCGTCCCCCCCCGAGAGGAAAGGGCAGAGGAGGAGGAGGCGGGAGGATGGAGAGGATGATGATGCGGGGACTCGCTTCGGGGCCCCCGCGCCGCAGTACGATCACCAACGTGAGCGAGTTCGCGGAAGTCAGGCCTGCTGCCGCAGGGGGCGGGGGTGGTGAGGTAGCAGTCGTGGAGCGGAGAGGGGACGGTGGGGGAGGAGGAGGAGAAGGAGGAGGAGGAGGTGGAGGGACAAGAAGGACTGATATAATTATGCCCTGGTCGCCCGCTCAGCCTTGCTGAGCATCTCAGGCGAAAGATCTTTCCCTAAACGACGGAGGTGCTCCTGGCCAGTAGTCGTGATAGGCAGACAGGACCAGCAAATCTCCTCAACGGAGACAGGCCGATGGGCCTGCAAACTCCACAAAACCAGAGCCCAAGGGGTTCGTGATATTTCATCTTTGGGGAACTATGGGCCTGCCCTCCTGCGAGATGTAAAACCTGACCCGTGGGTAAATTGTCCTTGCGGAAGCCTTCCTTGTGGCATTCTCGAGGGGAAGCAAAGGATCGCGAGCAAGTCTTTGAGATAGGCTTGGGTAGCGGCTCCCCTGCAAATAGTGCACCTTGCTCCACAGCGAGTATCACATGGTTGGAGCAAAAGAGAGCTCTCACCGCAGCACGAGGGGGCGGAATGACATGAGCCTCGGATTTCTTGTTTCCCACCGTCAACGACAACCTGCATCGAAACTCGAAGGAGTCTCATGAGACTGAGCCTGACACCATGCTCAACCTGAAGGAAGCGTAGTCGCTGATGCTCAGGGACCCGTGCTTCCTTGGCAGCAATGGCTGCGAGGGTGTCGGCGTACATGTAGCCTGCAATCACCCACGATGGAACATGACGGTGAAGTATCTCATGACCCTCCGCGTGCGAGGTCAGTGCAAGCAAAATAATATCTGCGTAAGCGCGGGTGCGGAAATGGCCTCGAATCGATCTCCATATGTTGGCATGATTTCCTGTTGTGTGTTCGAAATCTCGAGACCACCATCCTCGATAGACCTCCCCATTGTGGGTCACGTACACTGTGGGGCCCGAGAACCACCGACAACCAACCTCCAGCATGTACAGCTCTCATCTTGCAACCGTCTGCTGGCCACCAGGAAACGGACCATACACTCATGGGCAAGTAGAGAAAGCATGATCCGACCGGCGACAGCGGCCAACCCAATTCAATGAAGTCGTGGATCGTGGGTGACAGCTCCTCCGTATGCGTCACCATGAATGACTGACCAACGCTCCGTCCATTGGTCCAGAACCGAAGAATAAGCTGCAAGGACGATCTTGCCCTGTGTCGTTTCCACTCCTTCATCTGTGTCGGTGTGTTTCCCTGAGTCCATTCCGAGGGGATGAGCCACGAAGTCAAAAACATTCTGCAATATTAGCTTTGGTCTCTGCTCGGCGACACTTTTTCTCGGTCATGTCAAAGATCGGGGAGCCAGCGTTGTACGGACATTGCCAATACTTGTGGACGGGTGTCTCCGCTATTGGCTGGGGGCACCGCGCACACAGGCCTGAACAGTCGTAATCTTCAGCCTCACGTCTTGACTAAGTCCACGTCCCCCCCACAACGATCATCATGAGCATCTCAGCCAGACGACGGCTGTGAGGGAGACCCTCGAGCTGGATGAGTTGCTTGCGTAGGCTGTAACTGTCAAGCCCTGACCCCATGCCACCGCCGTAGCTCAACTCGGAGGCGTCGTCCCACAGCTGCTGTTGGAAGTTGTGCGAAAATCATCGGTCACGTCGTTGGCGTCATCGATCGGCTCGAGCTGGCTGGCATCGAACTTCACCCTGGAACCCCACGGGCTTGATCGTGTTGGTTGGCAGGCAGGTAACCGTGAATGTGGACCCACTGGGTCCCACCCTACCTGAAACAGGAAGTGACCCACATCTGAAACTTGACCAGGAACATGACGCGCCCTGTGGCGAGGCTCGATCTGCCTGAGCTGGTCCACCAGTGCCTTGCTAAACCTTGCCAACGGGCGCGATTGCTTGAACTCATGCAGCGAAGTGTTGACAGCCTTGGCGCGAGCGCGCCTCACAACAGCTTTCAACCCCCCAACCAATGCCGGCAGCCCGCAAGGGTCCTGGTCCCAAGATGCTGCAGAAGATGTTACAATTGGCTCCATGACGTCGCCGCGGGCAGCTTGCCTACGCATTTGTGAGCACGATCTGGGCACTGACCTGCGAGCTTGCTTGCTGCTACTTCAAAATGATGAACTCTGCTTTTTACTAATATGCTTAAGACCATGGTGATATACCTGATTGACAAGTGTGAGAGCCCTCGTCCACCTGTTAGCCACGACGTCGCAGACAAGCATGTGCCTAAAGTGGGAGCTCTGCTGGGCACGGCGACCTCCAGTCCGGCTCTTTCGGCACGGGTGGGCCTGGAGTCTTCTTTATCTTGACCATGGCCCATCCAAACGCACGTTTCACTTCCGTCAATCCAGCCAGCGAGCGCCCCACTGACAGGACGGATAATCTGGCCATCAACTCTGAAGGCAGCCAGGGCACGCATCGGCGCCCAAACATCCTGCTCCCCCGTGCCGATGAAAGCCTGACTTACGTATTGGCAATCATGGAGAAAGGCTGAGAGGCATCAGCACCAGCAGGGTAGTGGGAACCCGAGCTGTTGCCAGGGCGTGCGACGCTCCCGTGGCGTTCTCTGGTCGAGACGACACGCTCGAATCGTCGTTTGCGGTGAGACCCTCGGCAGGAGAGCTCCGAGGGGAGATGGGGGGCAGACTATTTTTTCGCCACGAGGGTCAGCAGTGGCATTTGGCAAGCCGTTGGGCTCGTCTGCCCACGGGTCGAATCCCCCCCGTCGGCGCCGAGGTTCTCCGCACCAAGGGCCCGAGAAGAGGACGAGCTGCCGAGGGCCCTCGACTGCCTCGGGCGGCGGGCGGCCCCCGCCTGCGACCCGCAGGCTGCGAGCACCAGGCTCGCAGACTGCGAGCACCCTCTCGCCCCCAGAGATCCCCAAGCGGCCTGGAAGACCGGAGGAGGAGGAGGGGGGAGGGGGGAGGAGGGAGGGAGGAGGGAGGGAGGAGGGAGGGAGGGAGGGAGGGAGGGAGGAGGAGGAGGAGGAGGGAGGAGGAGGAGGAGGAGGAGGAGGAGGAGGAGCTCGACCTGCTTCTGGAAAGCCTGCTCCCTCTCAACAGCCTGCGCCAGCCTGGCCTTGGAAGACGCGCTGCCAGCTCGAGGGAGCCGCCCAGGGGTGGATTGGGCCTCTGGAAGCCCCTCGGCACGGCGCCCCACGGCCGCGCGGTGGGCCGGGCCCCGAGCCCCGAGAAGCCGCAAGAGGCCAGCAGCCCGCGGGCGGGGGCCGCCAGAGGGGTCGCCCTCCTCCTCCTCCTCCGCCTCATCCTCCTCCTCCCTCCTCCCTCCTCCTCCTCCTCCTCCTCCCTCCTCCTCCTCCTCCTCCTCCTCCTCCTCCTTCTCCTCCTCCTCCTCACCGACCGCATGCGCAGTCCGGGCACACGAGGGGGCGCCGGCAGGCGACGCGCGAGCGAGGTCTACGCTGGGACGCCCCCTGGGCTCGACGAGCGCGTTCCACTGCTCGCGAAGCAACTCCTCGCAAGTGGCTTGGATCCCCCTCCGGGGATCCACGATACATTACATCAAAGCAGACAGGTGTTTTTTTTCGGACGTTTGCGAGTAGGCACTTTGCAAGAGGTGGAATGCGCTCGGCGACGGGCGCAGACCCAGACGCCCTCGAGTAACAATGAAACTCATGACGGGAGGTTTTTGTTTCTTCCGTTTTCGGCATCTGGGGGCCCTCGCCGGGCCCCAGGACCGTCAAAGAACGGCTCAGGATGAGAAACCGGTCCCAGGGAATGGGTCGAGTTCTTTGGGGGTCGACGTTATGAAAATCAGAGGCAGCAGCGTGGAATGGGGACTCCCTGCTGCAATGTCCCGGCGGAGAACCGCGGGTCACGCCCGGAGGCCGTGAAGAGGACATCCTCCTTGACGTCCACCACCTCATCCTCCTCAGTCCTCTGCAACAAGCACCTGCTCGTGCACCTTCTCAAGCAGCACCACCTTGGCATCCCCCTCCCCATCGTCCTCCTCCTCTTGGCCATCCTGGTCCTCCTCCTCCTCCTCCTCGTCCTGCTGCTGCTGCTGCTCCTCCTCCTCCTCCTCCTCCACCTTCTCGTCCTGCTGCTCCTTCTCCTCCCTTCCCTCCTCCTCCTCCTCCTCCCCCTCCTCCTCCACCTGCTCCTGCACCAGATTGTGGATAAGACGCGGCAGGCTGCGTGAAAAAGACGGCGCCGATGCACCTACATCCGCGGGCAGCTTGCGCGCGGGTGAACGCGCAATCGATCCCCGCGGCATCGCCCCCCCCCAACTTCAAACTAGGCGGTGCAGCGGACCGCTTCTGTCAAAGCCTCGTCTCCCCCCTCGGGGGCGGTTAACCCACCCATCCCGCTAGCAGACCGTGGAGGCCTCGGATAAGCAATCCAGGGTCTGGAGCCTTGTGGAGATCCACTTACGTGGAACGGGGGGGGGCAGAATTTTCCGCCCCCAATCAGTGTGAGCTCTCTACCCTCCCTCCGTCTCCTCTCCCCCCCTACTTTCTCCTCCCTCCCGCCTCCCTTCTCCCTCCCCCATCCCTCCCACCTCCCTCCCACCCTTCCTCCGCCTCAGATCCCCTGGAGGAGGGCGGCAGGTGAGCGGTGCGGTTGCAGCTGCGCGCCCGCGGGCGGTATGAAATTTGTCGCCCAGTTGGGATTGCGGTTGCGCGCCCGCGGGCGGGTTGAAATGTGTCGCCCAGTTGCGGTTGCGCGCCCGCGGGTGGTTTGCAATGTTTCGCGTACTTGCGGTTGCGGTTGCGCGCCCGCGGGCGGATTGAAATGTGTCGCCCAATTCCGGTTGCAGTTGCGCTCCCGCGGGCGGTTTGAAATGTGTCGCGTAGTTGTCTTGTGCGCCAGCGGGCGGGTCGAAATGTGTCGCCCAGGTGCGGTTGCGGTTGCGCGCCCGCGGGCGGGTTGAAATGTGTCGCCCAGTAGCGGTTGCAGTGGCGCGCCCGCGGGCGGGGTGAAATGTGTCTCTCAGGTGCGTTTGCGGTTGCGCGCCAGCGGGCGGGTTGAAATGTGTCGCCCAGGTGCGGATGCGGTTGCGCGCCCGCGGGCGGGTCGAAATGTGTCGCCCAGTTGCGGATGCGGTTGCGCGCCCGCGGGCGGTTTGAAATGTTTCGCGTAGTTGCGGTTGCGGTTGCGCGCCCGCTGGCGGATTGAAATGTGTCGCCCAGTTGCGGTTGCGCGCCAGCGAGTTGGTCGAGCTGTGCCGCCCAGGTGCGGTTGCGGTTGCGCGCCCGCGGGCGGGTTGAAATGTGTTGCCCAGGTGCGGATGCGGTTGCGCGCCCTCGGGCGGGTTGACATGTGGCGCCCAGTTGCGGTTGCGGTTGCGCTCCCGCGGACGGGCCGAAATGCGTCGCCCAGTTGCGCTTGCGCGCCCGCGGGCGCGTTGAAATGTGTCGCTCAGGTGCGGTTGCGGTGTTGCGCGCCCGCGGGCGGTTTGAAATGTGTCGCCCAGGTGCGGTTGCGGTTGCGCGCCCGCGGGCGGGTCGAAATGTGTCGCCAAGTTGCGGTTGCTGTTGCGCGCCCGCGGGCGGGTCGAAATGTGTCGCCCAGTTGCGGTTGCGCGCCCGCGGGCAGGTCGAAATGTGTCGCCCAGGTGCGGATGCGGTTGCGCGCCCGCGGGCGGGTTGAAATGCGTCGCCCAGTTGCGGTTGCGGTTGCGCGCCCGCGGACGGGTCGAAATTTGTCGCCCAGTTGCGGTTGCGCGCCCGCGGGCGGGTTGAAATGTGTTGTTCAAGGTGCCCTCCTGACGTTCAGTTAGTCAATCAGTCAGCCAATCAGTCAGTCAGTCACCGGCGGGCACGGGATTTCACCCGGTTCCGCCGGGAAAAACATGACGTCGGGGGTCTGGGGATACGGTAGGTTTATGCGGCGTTGACGCGCTAGCGACGCCGGCGAAGGCATACAAGCTTGAATTCTGCGACGCGGAAGCGCCGTTATGGACACGACAACCAACGCCTCTGGGCCCGATTGCAGTCAGGATCGGGCCGCGATCGATTCAAGGTTTAACGTTCGATGCGGTGTCAAAGACCTTTGTGCGCGCCGACGCTGCACGAACCTACCTTGCACGTCGATTCCACTGGAGCCTTCAAACCGTGGCTCCGAGTTCCTTGGATGAAACCCGCAGAGACGAGGGTCTGGGCAAGGCCATAGGAGTCCCCTTATCACAATCTGGGGGAGCTGCGAATCAGAAACCACTCTACCTAACTTTGCGAACCTGCTCGCATTGTCACCCGAGTATCCCTGAGAGTGATTGCCGTAAACATCAGAAGGACTCAGCTAAAGCCCTGTTAGACGATCACTACTGGTAGGAACCCGTCCTGCATGTCTTACCCATCAGGACACAGCCCTCCAAGCCATCCGAGATGACAAGCGAGGTAGACCTGCCGATGGCTCTGAGCCAAGAAGACCTCTCCGCCTTCGTTGGCCCCGAGGTGGCCTGAAAACGTGGCGCACGGACGTCCAGTGGGCCGTGCAGGGTTCGCGAGTATCTCGATTATGGCCTTGTGAGTCCCACTCCCAATCTCGGACTTGTCAACATGAGACTCGCACAGCCCAAGATTTTGAAATTCTCTCCGCGAGTGAAGCTCCTGGATGTGACTACACGACTTGTTGACAATAATGGTGATGTTGGAGAGGAACAGTTGCGTGACGGCAGCCTCATACTCCGCATCCGATACGCCACCTGGCGTACCTGAACTCCTCTGGCCTCTGCCGGTGGAAGATGATGACGAACGAGGTTCGACGCCAACATCTCGAAGCCCCTGACGATCCAGGGGCTGGGGTTGCTCTCATGGAGGTTGCGCACCCTCCCCGGTGGCGCCTCTGGCTGCCTCCTCCACCCTGACCTTGAGTGCCTTCGTCGCCACCTTCATCGCCGCCCCCTTGGCCGCCATGATGGCGCTCGATCTCCTGGTCGATCTCCGCCTTAGTCTTCACGGCGGGAGCCCAGCTGGCGTGCCCATCCATCGTTGCTCCAGTCTCCGTGGCCAGCGCCTTGAACGCTATCCTCTTCGAGATCTCTGCAGCTGCTAAGACACGCGCCGCTTCACCTTCCCCGTGCAAACGCTGGAGCCAAGTGCTCGAGCGCTCGGTTGACGCTCTGCTCGGACTGGCTGTGCTTGGACTGCGCGTCCGTACTTGCAAGCCCCCCTCCTCCTCCTCCTCGTCCTCCTCCTCCTCCTCCTCCTCCTCCTCCTCTTCGTGCGGGCCTCGGCACGTGCTGAGCTCTGAGTTCTGGACCCGTTGCCCTTGGACTGGGGCTGCAGATCTTCATGGCCTGGGTAGTCGTGAGCGGCGTGCTGCTTCCAGGCCAAAGGCTCGAGTCCACGACGCTCCTTGGCGTCGCGCTTATGCCGCCCCTCTTTGCCAGACCGCACATGCACAGATAGGCATAATCTGTGTTCGACGTTTGTTTCATGACCCTCTCTATAGTAACAGAAGGGCACTGACTTCGGCTTTCGCTAAGCGGAACAGTGAGGGAATTGGAGTGGAGGACGGGGGTCCACTCTTTGGCCCCACTGGCCGCTTACCCCCCAAGCACCTAGGGGGGGGGGGGTGAGGGAAGCGCTGGAAGGGCACGAAGTGCATCTGATTCAGGGGTGATTGCTTGGGCTGCCCGCCCGACGCGCTTGTTCGCGTGTCTGTGCGTTGTGAGGTGTGGTGTGGTGCTGGAGGGGGAGGGAACAGGACTTGACAGAGGGAGGTCAGACGACCAGGTGGAGGAGGAGGAGGAGGAGGTGGCGGAGGCGGAGGAGGAGGAGGGGCGGGGCAAGGGGGGGAACTGAGGGGAGGCAGGGCGGGAGAGCGGAGGGGGAGGAGCGGCGAAGGAGGGGCCGATTGAGGGAAGAGGGAGGGGCATATCGGAGGAGAAGGGGAGGGAGGGATTGCGGTGGGCGGATCGAGGGGAGCGAGGGGAGGGGAGCGGGGAGGAGTTGAGGGTAGGTGCTGCTAGTTGTTGTGCTATAGCGGCGGTGGTGCCCATGTTGATGTTGGTGATGGTGGTGGGGATGGTTGGTGGTGATGGTGGTGCTGCTGGTGCTGCTGGCGCTGGCGTGAGGATGCTGGCAGTGCAAGTGTTGGTGACCACAGCGAGGAGGACGTTCGTTTTGCTGCTGTTGATGATGGTTCGTATGGTGATGTTGGTGCTGCTGCTTTCTGCTGCTGCTGCTAGTGATGATGGTGTTGATACTGATGGATCTGATTACGATGATGGTTATGCTGATGCCGATGCTGATACTGATGCTGCTGATGGCTACGATGATGATTATGTTAATGCTGCTGATGCTGAGGATGATGAGGATGATGAGTACGATGATGAGGATGATGATGCTGATGATTGTGATTACGATGCTGATGATCAAGGTGCTCATTCGGGTGATGATGCTGATGACGATGATGATGAAGATACTGATGATGATGATGGGGATGATGATCATGACCATCATGATCATGGCGATGATGATGCTGCTGATGATGATGGTACTGATGATGATGATGATGCTGATGATGGTGATGATGACGTTGATGATGCTAATAATGATGATGATGATGATGTTGATGATGATGATGATGATGCTGATGATGACGTTGATGATGATGATGATGATGATGATGATGATGATGATGAGGATGATGATGATGCTGCTGATGATGATGGGGATGAGCATGGTGTTAATGTTGTTGTGCGGGGGAGGCCTCGCTCCCACGTGGACTACATCCACCACAACACCGAACGCCTGCTCTCCACTGGCGTGCTCGTGCTGGGCAGCCGCGGCAAGGCGCCGCGCGTGGGGGTGGGGCGAGCACCTTCTCCACGTCGCTCTCCACGTCCACCTCCGCGTCCTCCACGTCCTCCCCACAACGTCCGTCTCGCCCGCCTCGTCCTCCTCCCCATCCCCCCCTTTTCGTCCTCCTCGTACGGCTTCTCCTCCCGGCGCACCCTCCTCCCGCTACCCCTCCTCTCCGACCGCTCCCTCTCCTGCCGTGCCCCCTCCTTGCGCCTCCTTATCCTGCTCCTGCTTCTCCTCTCGCCTCCTCCCTGCTTCTCCTTCCTCCGTCCTCCCTGCTCCTCCTTCTCCATGCTCCTCATGCTCCTGCTCCCCTTGCCCCCGCCCCTCCAGCGCCCTCTCCTCTTTCTCCGGCTCCCCGTGCTCCAGCTCCTCTGTCCTCCGCCTCCTCACTCTCCCCCAGGCAGGGCGTTCGCGAGGCCAGCCAGTACCGTCTGCCGCTCGTGCAACGTGCCAGTGGATGCGTCGCGTTCTGTCCGTGAGCGGGCCGTCGGATGATGATGATGATGATGATGATGATGATGATGATGATGACGGTTATGGTGATGACCATATTGATGATGCTGATGAGGATGATTGTGATAACAGTGCTGATGATGTCCCTGATGGTGATGCTGCTGGTGATGATGCTGATGCAGATGATGATGCAGATGATGATGCTGCTGATGATGATGATGATGGTGCTGGTGATGAGGATGATGATGATGACGAGGGTAATGATGATGATGTTGATGATTGTGATGATGGTAATGATGATGATGATGATGATGATGATGATGATGATGATGATGATGATGATGATGGTGATGGTGATGGGGATACTGCAGATGATGATGATGATGGTAATGCTGATGATGGTGATGGTGATTATGATGCTGCAGATGATGATGGTATTGCTGCTGATGATGTGTATGATATCGATGCCGATGACAATGCTGATGATGATGACAGTGATGGTGTTGGTGATGATGATGATGGTAATGAGAAGGCTGATGATTGTAATGTTGATGCCGATGATGATGCTGAGGATGATGGTGATGATGAGGATGACGATGATGATGATGCGGATCATGACGATGATGCTTAGGATGATGACGATGGTATTGATCACGATCATGGTGACGATGACGATGACGATTATGATGAAGATGATGATGCTGATCAAGCTTATGATGCTGATGATAAAGATGCGGCTGATGATTGTGATGCTGATGCCAAAGATGATGATGATGATGGCGATGATGATGACTATGATGGCGATGATGACGACGATGATGCCGATGATGATGATGATGATGACGATGATGACGACGACGTTGATCTTGATGCTGATGATCGTCATGATTATGATGATGGTGTTGATGATAATGATGCTTATGGTTTTGATGCTGATTATAACCATGATGGTTATGATCATGATGATGACCGAGCTGTTTATGATGATGAGTATGACGATGAAGATGATGCTGATGAGACTGATGATGATAATGATGATGGAGAAGAATAGTAATATTATGATGATGTGGATGGTGGTGATGATGCTGATGTTGAGGATGATGATGATGACGACGATGGGGATGATAATGATGAGGAGGATGATGATGATGATGACGATGATGATGAGGATACTGATGATGATGGTGGTGATGATGCTGCTGATGTTGACGAAGACGAGGATGATGCTGATGACGACGATGATGATGTTGATGTTGATGATGATGTGGATGATGATGATGATGATGCTATTGCTGATGATGATGATGATGATGATGATGATGAGGATGAGGATGAGGATGAGGATGAGGATGAGGATGATGATGATGATGATGATGATGATGATGATGATGATGATGATGATGATGATGATGATGATGATGATGATGATGGATTGTGGTGGTGGTGGTGGTGGTGAGGAGGAGGAGGAGGCGAAGGAGGAGAATGAGGGAGGAGGGAGGAGGGAGGAGGCGGGAGGAGGGAGGAGGGAGGAGGGAGGACGGAAAAGGGAGCAGAGAGGAGGGAGGAGGGAGGAGGGAGGAGGGAGGAGGAAGGAGGGAGGAGGGAGGAGAGGAGGAGGAGGAGGAGGAGAGGAGGAGGGAGGAGGAGGAGGAGGAGAGGAGGAGGAGAGGAGGAGGAGGAGAGGAGGAGAGGAGGAGGAGGAGCAGGGAGGATGGTGGAGGACTAGGAGGAAGAGTGGAGTTGATGGTGATGGTGGTGGTAACAATGAGGAGGGAGGAGGGAGGGAGAGAGGGAGGGAAGAGGAGCAGGAGGAGGCGCATGAGTAGGAGGAGGAGGAGGAGGAGGAGGAGGAGGAGGAGCGCGGAGGAAGAGGGAACATGAGGGAGGAGAGGGGGAGGAGCTCCAGGGCCCGGTGCCGGCTGAGAGCGCGCCGAGTGCTCGCACTGGTGGCGCTGGGCCCCGTGCTGCTCGCGCCGGACGTCTTGAGCGGACTTCGGCCGTCGATGCTGCGCCCCTGCCCGGGCCAGGGGAGGGCGGCTGTTTTTCAAGTCGGGCCTTTGCCTCGACAGGGGGGAGCTTCAGAGAGAGTCCGACAATAGTCTGGGGACGGTTCGGTTGGTAGGTTATTTTGGACATCCGTTTTAGATGTGGGTTAGGATCAGGATGAATCACCAGTATCAGGATGCGGATTAGGATTAGGATTGGATTATTGGTAGATTCGCTCGTATTGATTCGGATTTTGGATGTTTTGCCTTTCGTCCGAACTCCGCCCGTAGGAGGACGTGCCCGACCTGACAGCCGTTGCCCGGCCCGGTGGCCGGCGCGGCGGGCCGTCGCGCCGCGGCCCTCGCCCCGCGACGTCTCCCGGCAGTGCACCTCCTCCTGCGGGGCCGCATGGCGCCCGGGGTGGTGCCGCTTTCGTTGCGGGTGCGGCGGGAGGGTCGAAGTTTGAGTCGGGCCTGTCCCCCTACAGAGGGTATTTCGACGAAGTATAAAACATACACCAAAAATAGCGAAAAGATAGTCCAAAAATAGTCTGGGGACTACTTTTTGAATTTGTTTTTACCTTTTGGAGGCATTTTTTGGGGCATCTTTTTTCCTCGTCGAAAATTCCCCTGTAGGGGGACACGCCCGACTTAAGTCGAAGTGCGGGGCTTGTATGGGGGGCCACATGCGAGCCCAACACCGATGCTTTTGTCGGGCCCTAGCGGGGGCTCACCTCGGCCGTCGTCGCGTTTGCGGGGTGCCTTTGCGGCGCGGTGCAAGCGTTAAACCGACGATTTTTTTTTTGCGGCGGCAGCCGTGTTGCCGCTGCAGGGGTCGTTCGGCCGTTCGCGCCCAGCTCCGCAAAGGAGAACGTTTTGGCACCCCACCCTAATCCTCAGAAATAGTGGGGGGTAGGGGTAGGGTTTGCATGTGGCCCCCTATGGTACCCCAAGTCCCTTATTGATCGTCCCCCGGGTCCGGTTTTTTATAGGGCGCCTTTTTTGTAGCTGGTGGGGGCCGGTCTATCAGGGCGCTCTCTTTGGATCGGAGCTTAGGGGGTCCGGTTTCTTAGGGCGCCCCGTCGAAGAGGGAGGTCCAGAATATTAGGTCGCATTTGGAGGGGGGGTCCAGCTTTCTAGGGGGGGGTCGGTTAATACGGGATTTGGGGTAGCGGGGCTCGCTACGGTGGGGGCGTTGGTCAAGGAGTGTGCCCAGGAGGCTCCAGACCCTGGAGGGTTCCTTGCCTGGTAAGGGCGGCGGTGATTTCCATGTTCAAGCCCCAATTGGTGTTCCACCAGCTCAGCTTCCAGACCCTGGATTCCTTATCTAAGGGTTCGTCATCCAGTGCCCTCGACGTATCGAAACATGGTCCAGCGCCCTTTCAACATCCTGCGTTGTCGCCCTCGCCAGCCATGGCTGGTCGAACCTGCGGGCCTCAGCGTCAGGCCTCGCGAGATTACCGCCATCGCTTCGGTTGTACTGTGCTCGCCATGCGCGCGTGCCTGCCATCATGGATCACCTCAGCCAAGCAAGAGCACGCGCCGACCGCTGGCTGTGTCGTCGTCGACTCTTACGCACCCCACACTGTCAGAAGGCCGCCCCTGTGTGCGCGCCGCCAGGGGTGCTTCACAAAAACCTACGGTTGCGAAGTCATGTTTGGCGTGTCCCGGTTTATCAGGGCGACCCCGCCGCGGTGCCCAGGATTCGCTAGGCAGTTTTCTGGGCCAAGACTGGGATTGTAAATTGTTATTCTACTTTGGGATGGCCAACTTGGGACGCGCTGTGCACTTCTCTGGGTGGGGATCCCGGGGCTACCTTGGTGCATCGAACAGATACACGATACGCGATAAGTACCCCCCCCTCCCCCCCGACGCATCGTGCGCCCCCCCCCCCCCCCCCCCCAAACAAAAACATCATACCTCCTGATCCTACCACTCTTCCTCCTCCCTCATCATCCCTCCTTCTCCTCCTCACTCCCGCTCTGGGCCCGACAGCGGACGGCTGCGAGAATCATGAAGTGGGACTGGGGGAGGTGGGCGGGCGGCAGCGGATCGCATAGCAGACGCGCGGGCGCGTCCGATCATCCCCCCCGCTTCTCCTCCTCGTGCCCAAAGCCGCTACTGTTAAAGTCGGGCGTGTCCCTCTACAGGAGGAGCATTCCCAAATAGTAAAAACATAGTCAGGGGACTATTTTGTCGAGTTGGTTCTACTATCTGTTTTTTTAGGAGTGTTTTCATTTTCTGCTGCCCAAGATCCGCCTGTAGGGGGACATTCCCGACCTAATGCTAGTGCACACCCTCGACCCCGAAGCCACACCCGCCCACCTCCTCACCTCCCCCCAGTCGAGAACGACTGCCGAGCTTTGGCCAGGGGGGCCTAAAAAATAGTCTGGGGACGATTTGTCGAGTTTGCTCTACCATTTGTTTTTTTAGGAGTGTTTCAATTCTTGTTGCCCAAGATCCGCCTGTAGGGGGGCATTCCCGACCTAACGCTAGTGTACACCCTCTACCCACCACCCCGAAGCCACACCCACCCACCTCCTCACCCCC